AATGATGCAAAAATAAGAAAAGCATGCAGCCTCATCTCCTTAAAGGAAAATAGCTTTTACAAGACAAATCTCATTGCAGAGAGTCTGTTAATACACCTGACAATTTTTACACTGACACTGTATTGTGTATAATGCAGGTTGTGATAAGTAATACAACAGTTAGGGTATAGAAAACCATACTGTTTTACATATTTTCATTTTAATATAATTAGTTACAGTGGAATTTGAGTTCCAGCATATAAAGGGAAACTACATCTTGATAGTCTTTGCAAATTTATGAATTAACTTCATCTTTTTTGTATTTTGGTGTTCCTACTGGAAAATGTTTTTCATCAATGCATAATGCCATATTTAGCCATATAAATTTCAATATTTATTCATATGCATCACAAAGAATGTGTGCACTTCTGCTGAAGTATAAAAGAATACTCTAATTAAAGCATAATATTTCTTCATAGTCTTAAGAAATACATCCAACCTTGTTCTTTTCTGAACATAAAGCTGTTGAAGGTTGTCACTCTGTATGTAAGGAAAGATCCGCCTATTTCTACCAGTAGAATGGCTGCTGGTCAGTTTCACCCATTTATATTTATGTATCATTTTGGATTTTTGAGCCTCGGGGTATAGTACAGGCAAGGGCAAAGATGGAGAGCTGGAGACCATAGCAATACTTGAAATTTTGTGAAACATTCTTTATTTTTCCACTAAACTACTTTGGGTTCTTTGCTTACAAATGCTAGGCTTGTCTCTTTGTTGATGAAACCAAGAGACTGAAACTACTGAGAGTTGGGTACAAATGTGGGCTTCTTTCTCCTTCCTTTCCTGCCTCCATGCCCATTAAAGCACACCACTCTTGCAGTGTCATCTAAGACCATCCCATGTTCTGCCATGCTGCATTTCACTGTTCACCCATGCTTCCCTCCTAAGTAAAGAGAAACAGATTAGGAGATGTGTGTACTGCAGTGGTCCTCACAGCCTGTCCCCTGCTAGAAGAGTAAGAAATACCTGGGGTGGGGGGTAGGAAATGCAAATTCTTGGGCCTCACCCCAACTTACTAAATTAGAAGCTCAGGGGGTCAGATGCACCAACTTGTGTTTTGACAAATCCTCCATGGGATTCTGAATTTTGAGGACCATTGGAATAGTGAAAGGCAATACACAATAGTCCAAAGTCACATAGCTAGTGGTAGAAGAACCAAGAGCCGAGAAAGCCTGTGCTCCTACCCAAGCTCAGATCCACTTGCCCAAGACTCTATGCATGTATAAACATCAGGTTCTTCTTTTACTTCTATTTAAGGATGATTTGGATATTTTTGAAACAGAACTATTCCAGGACTTTAATTGAAGGAATTAATTACAGCACAGGTTTTTATATTTTAATACTGCAAAAATAAGTGAAAATATAATGAACAATGACCACTTTTATTAAATATTACTCAACTTTGACAATCCTACTGGAGATAATGGCTCTCTGATCAAATTCAACTGTTTCTAGAAAAATGCTCATATAATGGGGAAACTGAATATTTGAAAGTGCTTAACAAAATCTTTGTGAAGTCTGCTTCGATGCATCTGTTTAAGAAGTGAATCTCTTGCAGGACACTGATATATTAAACCACATTGATGTGCTCAAACACTTTTCTTTTCGTCATCTTGGTATCAGAAAATCCACTAAAACACACCAGGGAAATGGTATTCAGTTCTCTAGGCACTTTCAGACAATCTATGCTTTAGAACTATTTGTAAACACATAAATGAACTATAGGCATCATCATAATTGTTTTACTGTTTGCAGCTAAGATTTACTCTGCATCCCTCTACTCATAAAACAGCTTTTTTTTTTTTCAATTTACTTCTGATAATATCTATGTATTTGCATTTTACATATTTTAAAATGTTAACATTGTGGTCTATCTTACCCTTCAAAATACTTAGGGATCTAACAAACTCCATTATTTTGGAGAAAAATGAATCATCTTTCCTCTCAAAGTTAACCTTTCACAAATGATCACAGTTGGTATGAGCAAGAGGTTTTCTTTTTTTTTTTTTCTTTTTTCCTTTGAGCATGAGGTTTTCAAACAGGGCTCTGTTTTGTTTTCATTGCAATACAGCTTTAAATACACTGTGTGGTAAAATTAACAGTTGTGGAAAGAAGACAAGTAATCAAGGGTGATTATTAAAAGGTTTGGTTCCCCTACACCTCAGATATTCCCACCCACCCTCTCAAGGGAGAGTTTGTGTTATATACAATGAAATTATCATCACTCGGGGGCTTGCACTGCCAAACGTAATCCAGGTAAAACACATTTGTACGATGCAGCCAAGTGTATGACTTAGTGTGCTTATGATGGAATTCCTTCTGGTCTGTAAATTGATAGGCACAGCCAGAGGGATTATGTAAACAATCAAGGGAATGAAATGCAATGCAGAGGGTGTAATTCTATCCCAGGCTGTAAAGCGAGAGACTGGCAAAATGCTGGTCTCAAGCGAGGTATCTAAAAATGGAAGCAGTTACTTTTTATAGTCCTGCTCCTCATGGGGACCAATCTCCCCACACTTCTGATGCTACCTGGGAGACTCTAAATCATTCGATAGTTTTCTGCCCACAGGTCTCTTGGCAAACTTTAGGCTTCTGAATTTAGTGTGCTCTGTCTTCATAGTAATTTTTTTTTAATCTATTATGTGCCTAGTATACAAAAGGAATGGTTTCTTACATCACTGCCCCTCTTCCCAGGATCAAGATAAGTATTTATTTATGTAATTAATAATTATTCATTGAATATACCAACTTTAAGCCATGTGTTGCACTAGTGTCTGGGGCACAGTGTTAGCAAAACACAGCCATGTCACATCCAAGTGGATCTGAGGGAGTCATAGACACCCTAATGTGGTAAATTCTGTGGTTAAAAGGCATTGTGTGTGTTAAGAGCCCAGGTAGTCTTAAGGATGGGGGAAGGTTTCCCAGAATATAGTCATAGTAATACCAAGACCTGAAGTAGTAGTTAATCAAATAGAGAAATGGAAGAGAGATTATTATGGAAACAAAACTTAGAGAACAATTCCATAATCATATGCAACAAATCACTAAGTTCATTAGGTCTAATTGCTTCCTTCCAAACAAACCAGTGCCTTAAAAGTCAAGAACATTTACTAGCCATTATTTGTCGAGTATTGTGCCAGTTCCCTGAGTGAATATTTTCCTGCATATTTTGCCTTTATAAATAAGCATAGTCTCTGGAATATTGTAGATCCTCAATAACTATCTGATGAAGTGCTATTTAAAATAATGTCCCCTTGTATCATGTAGTCTAAATAGAGGAAAACAATCAAATCTTTTTCCTAGAAAATGTCTGCACATATCTTTGGCTTTCTCTTAAGAGTGGAAAGCTTTCTTTCAATCACACCAGTGATATCTCATCTCTGAGCATTCAACCGCAGGATGTTGGGGTGTGGGGGAGGAAGTCTTTTAAAGAGTAACTTTTATCTTAACTATGAACTTTAGCTTCAAACTAGTTTAACCCCAATCATCATATAATGACCAAGCACTTTGGACATGGCCTTTCCCAGTGTTATACAAGGGAAAATGTTTCACCATTAAGCAATTATTCTTTATTACCATATTTTACCACATTTATGGAATTGGTCCTCCTCTTTACCTGCCTTAAAATGCAATGTCTTTAATGTGACACTTAATTGCAAAAATATATATCTACATATTTACTACGTACATATCAATTATGTGAAAATCAAAAGGCTATCTGAATCTTGACCGAAACCAAGACTGCTTAAGGGAAAGATGAAAGTTGCTTAACACCCACTGTTTTCAGTAATATAAGTTGAAGATTAAGGACTTCGGCAATCTGGAATCTGGTAGGAGGCTGAGGATCTATTTATCTATTCACATTATATCTAATAGAGAAAACTTAGGTCAGTCATTCCTTAAACACTTGCATACAAAATACTTTTTATAAGCAGGGAAAACTCAAGTTAATGTTTAATTTCTTCTCTTTAGACATGTCATATGGGTCAGAGTATTATCATCCATAGCAAGTAAGTACCTTCCTGAGCAGCTTTGGAGTATAAAGTGCCCAGAGAACTATGCATTATGAAAACTGAAATGCAGGCCTATCTAGTCCAAAGCATTGTTTCCCAGCTGGAGACACAGAGGACTTGAGAGCCCAGAGGCCTGCTCCTGCTCAGGCTCCCACTGATGATTCTGGGAGGGCTGCACAGGGACCCTGGACTCCCAAGACAAATCAAGGTTCTCTTCACTTAATCCAGCATCTCAGTTTTTTTGCAAAGATTTCCTCAATTGGAGCAATTACTAGATTGTGAACTGTATCTCAATTCTGCTTTAGGATTTTCCAAGTTGGAGTGATTAATACATTGTCAGCTTCCCTAGTGTCTCAGATGGTAAGAATCCACCTGCAGTGCAGGAGACCCAGGTTCACTCCCTGGTTCGGGAAGATCCCCTGGAAGAGGAAATGGCAACCCACTCCAGTATTCTTGCCTGGAGAAGTCCACAGACAGAGGAGCTTGGTGGGCTACAGTCTATGGGGTCTCAAAGAGTCAGACACGACTGAGCAATTAATACTTCAATTCCAATACATTGTGAGCTTCTGAAGAAAAATTTAAAAATTAACTGGATTACCTGTTACAGTCATTGACTTCTGTGGAGGATATTTTAGCTTATTAGCCTGTTTCTTTCTTTCTTTCTTTTTTTTTTTTTTGCTTCCCACTGACAATAATTATCTAAAATTTCACAAATGCATGGGAATTTGATACATTCTTTGTATTCCCCAGCAGGTGCATGTGTGGTCAGTCACTTGGTTGTGTTTGACTCTTTATGACTCCATGGATTATAACACCCCAGACTCCTCTGTCCATGGAATTTTCCAAGCAAGAATACTAGAGTGGGTTGCCATTTCCTACTCCAGGGGATCTTTCTGACCCATAGATCTAACCCATGACTCCTGCATTGGCAGGTGGGATCTTTACCACTGTGCCTTCTGAAAAGATGCATGCATGTGTGCTAAGTTGCTTCAGTCATGTCTGACTCTTTCCAACCCTACGGACTCCAGAAGGTACATATATTCAAATTAATCCTTTTCTGGAAAGATTTTGAGAGTAATTCTTAAAGTAATCATTGACTAGTTTTCACAGATTGTTTGATTACTTGGTAACTCCTATGATATATTAACCCAGGTGGTCTATTCTGCCATTTCCTTACCCGCACAAGATATCCAAATTAGCGCCGAATTATTTTTTCCCCTCAAGACCTTTTTCTCTTACTAGAATGACTCAGTTCAGAACAGGCTCAGGCAATATAATTTGTGGTTCACAGTCTTCTAAAATATAGAGCAAAAGTTAGGCTGATGAATCTTCTTACATCATATAGGAGCCTGGGGGAAAGATGCATAACAGTACCTCCTCTATTACATCACTATGAAGCACATAGAAGTAAAAAATTGAAAAGGACTTGTGATTCTGAACTTGGGCCTGCACTTGAGACTATTCCCAAGTCTATCATAATTTTAATGAGGACTCTATTAAACACTCTGTGAGACTGATGGACTCAAAGCATTAATTATCCAACCATGCCATGACAGCCATTTTTGGAAAGATATCTGAGAAGAGCACCCTGCTAGTGACAACAGAGCCCTGGAATTCCTCTTTAAAGTAGGTCTTTGACTTAGTTTTGCTGCTTCAAAAGCCTACTATTAGGATACCTATCCCCCTGACAGTTATTAACAGGGATGATTTCTTTTAGCAACTTTCATTTTTTTCCAAGCAAATACTTATTGAGCTAATTATGATGTGATATGATATTTTCATACATTATATTTAATATAGTATGGAATATAATATTTTATATCATATAAGGATAAGTGAAAAAAATTCTTAAAATAATACTGACCCTTACCACATGAAGTACACTCTAATATATTATTTCCTACTGAATTCTATTTTTAAAAATGTCACAGAGAACAAATCTGACACCATATTGGATCTATTCTTTTAGTTCTAACCTTTGGGCTCCATTGACTGTGCTTAGTCATGCTGGCTCTGCACCTTTATAAAACAATGTTGACTATTGCCTGAAATAAACATGATAGTCCAGTCTCAAGGCCCTGCCTCTGCAGCTTGACCTTTAAAGGTATGACACTTTTCATTCATACAAAGATTTAAAAAAATCACAGAACAGAGAATAACATTTGTCTTGTTACAAGTTTAGAGGAACATCATGACTGGACCTAAGTGGACAGCTATAAGAACAAAGGATTCAATTAGTCCCAAGGGGGTCTGGCCAGCACCAAGTAGTTTGCTACAACCAGCAACATCCCCTCCCCTTTTAGCATAAAGGAAGCATGAATTTTAACTCAGTTCTGATGGTTCTTTGGGACACTAATCCATCATCTTTTCAGTCTGCTGGCTTTCTGAATAAAGTCTCTGTTCCTTGCCCCAACACCTCATTTCCTGATTTAGTAGCCTATTGCAAGGCTATATGAGTTTGGAATTAGTAATAAAAATGTTCATTTTAAACCCACTAAATTGATGTCATTTACATTTCAGTTGGACAGTTAATTTGACTTATCATTTGATTTGTCATTTGAAAAATACTGTTTCAAACTGTATTAAAATTTTTAAGCCATTTAAAAATGATTTGTAAGCCCTGTACATAATTTTGGGATTTTGAAACCCTTTAAGAGTTTTTAGCAAAGAAATAGAGTTGTCCCTTTCTATCTTATTTTACTTTGTGCTCAATTAACATTTAATTAAGGGTAATAAATAATAATTTGATGGTATTTTAATTAATTTTCTCACTATAAATGGTCTGATGAAAATTATTGTTAAATTTGATCTAAATATTTATCCACACAAAATCAGTGACCTCAAATTACTGTACCTATGAATAGAAACATCCCCCCATTTTTTCCAGCTTTATTAAAATATAATTAATATATAACATTGTGCAAATTTAAGTTATATGACATTCATTTGATACATGAATATACTGCAAAATGACTATTGCAGTGTTGGCTAACACTTCCATCACATCATATAATGGCCATTTCTTTTTTGTGGTGAGAGCATTTAAGATCAACTCTTTTAGCAACTTTAAAGTATACAACATTATTAACTGTAGTTATGCTGTACATTAGGTCCCCAGAAATTATTCATCTACATAACAGGAAGTTTGTACTCTTTGACAAACATCTCCCCTTTTCCCCACCTCCCCCCACCCCCCAACCCCCTGGTAAATCATTCTAGTCTCTCTTTCTCTTTTTGGTATTTTAGGAGAAAATTCTGGGCTTCCCTGGTGGTTCAGTGATTAATAATCCCCCACTGCAATGCAGGGGACACCAGTTCTATCCCTGGTTTGGGAAAACCCCACATGCCTTAGGCAACTAAACCCATGCACCACAACTACTGAAGCCTAAGTGCCCTAGAGCCTGTGCTCCGCAACAAGAGAAGTCCAAGCACCTCAACTAGAGAGTAGCCCCCACTTGACACAGCTAGAGAAGGCCAGTCACAGCAACAAAGACCCAGCACAGCCCCAAATAAAAATTAATTAGTTGATCAATTAACTAAAAATAAGCAAACAATACGTTCTTTAAGAAAGAAAAATCTGCCTGTGCCATGGAACGTGACTTGGAGGGAATGGAGGCATCCCAGGTGCCAACCATCTGTTCCAGAGCCTGGACCTTCACTGAGGAGCATAAGGGGATCTGTGGCCTCTCCTGGGCATGACTTGGCCCAGCTGACCAAGGGACATTTGGAAAGCTAGAGTTTTAGGATGGTGATTTCCACGTGAGCAGTGGTCAGCCCAAGGAAATAAGGAACTAAAGCAAGGGGATTATGAAATCAGTCTAGTCGGTTGCAGCTGGATTTAGAAACTCCAAACTCTAGAATCTACTTGAATGGTAGCCATGTGTACTCTGTCATACAGATCAGCTAGTATCTTAACCACTCGTGACTCATTCATTTAAGATGTATAAAACAATTGCTACACAGCAAGCCTGGATTAAGTGTCAGGAATTTAAAGAAATAAGGCAAATTCCTGGTCTTAAAAGAGATCCACATATCTTTCCCCTGAAGAAAACAAATCTTAGGCTTTCTGTATTTATTTCTCTTTTGCTCTTTCTGGGATTCCCTGGTGGCTCAGATGGTAAAGCGTCTGCCTGCAATGTAGGAGATCCAGGTTTGATCCCTGGGTCGGGAAGATGCCCTGGAGAAGGAAATGGCAGCCCACTCCAGTACTCTTGCCTAGAAAATCCCATGGAAGGAGGAGCCTGGTAGGCTACAGTCCATGGGGTCGCAAAGAGTCGGACACAACTGAGAGACTTCACTTTCACTTTGCTCTTTCTATGTGCTTAGTAGAACTCTGAAAATCTAGCCTGGCTTTGTTGTGCTGAGAGGAACCTATATTATCAGGAAAAACGAGCACGACCGGAAAGTGGAAACTTGAGAGAACAAATCTGGAGTCACTTGGTTCAAAATGAACATCTCTATGAAGGCTTTGCTTCCTGTAAAAAAAAAAAAAAAAAATCTTTTGAGGCTCTGGATTCTGTTTTAGAGACATGGCACTCCCTTAATCCTACATTATAATCTTAGTATAAGCCTTTTCAAAACATGTTAACTATTAGGGAAATCAATTGTTTATCACAAAGAACTGAAAGATGAATGAATGACACTCTCCATTATTCATCAACACATCTCTCTAAATGTGTTTAAGCTCTCAGCAAGTAATGCTGGCAACAGCTGAAACAGGCTTACAGAATACTAAGGGACATGAGATAAAGATCTGAGCAGTACACAGAACAGAGGTGGAGTTATTCAAAGCACACTTTTCCGCGAACTCCAGCACACACAATAACTCCCTCTGTGAGTAGCAGGCTTCAGTGGAAGATCACAGAACTATCATTTGAGACTATATCAAGAAATCTAGTCATTAAACAGCCAAAAATGGAGATCAGAATCTTCTTTCAGCTTAACTGAGGATATGAAGCAGAACAAAATGGGCAAAATATCTTTCCAATGAAGTGAGGAAGAAAAAGTAAAAGAAAAGAAAGCAGTAATCTATAGTTCAGAGTAGACCCCTAAAGTATGGGCATCAAATATTGTATCCATTTTGGGTCCCTGCAGACTGTCTCCTCCCCCACCAAGTTGCTATTTGTCCCACATTCCTGAAAATTATAAAAACACTGTAGAAAACTTAAAGTTGTCATTGAGAAACCAGAAAACTCTGAAAACTGCTCAATAATCCTGGTAGTTCTCACTGCAGCGGGACTAGATTCAATGGCAAACCATTCCTGGGATCCCACTTGGCCCAAATAACTGATACTCAGTACTTTCACAGGTAGTTGATGGTACCTACTAAATAGTTCTTTACTACACTAGCTGGCAAAATGAAATGGTAAAATGAAATGCTTTCTAAGGCACTTTCCTGCCTTAAGGCCTTATATGTTCAAAGCTTTTGGAAGGATACACCCACTTGATTTAGTTCACTTCAGTTCAGTCACTCAGTCGTGTCTTGACTCTTTGCGACCCCATGAATCGCACGCAGTATGCCAGGCCTCCCTGTCCATCACCAACTTCCAGAGTTTACCCAAACTCATGTCCATCAAGTCGGTGATGTCATCCAGCCATCTCATCCTGTCATCCCCTTCTCCTTCTGCCCCCAATCCCTCCCAGCATCAGGGTCTTTTCCAATGAGTCAACTCTTTGCATCAGGTGGCCAAAGTACTGGAGTTTCAGCTTCAGCATCAGTCCTTCCAATGAACACCCAGGACTGATCTCCTTTAGGATGGACTGGTTGGATCTCCTTGCAGTCCAAGGGACTCTCAAGAGTCTTCTCCAACACCACAGTTCAAAAGCATCA